TTCAAACTAAAAAGCTTCTTCTCAGCAAAAGAAACAATCAGTGAGAGAKATTCTACTAATTGGGAAAAAATTCTCACCACACACGTGTCAGATAGAGCACTAATCTCTAGTATATATAAAGAACTCAAAAATCTTAACACCAATAAAACAAAAAACCCATTTAATAAATGGGCCAAGGAACTGAACAGACACTTCTCAGAAGATATACAATCATTTGACAACATATGAAAAAATGTTCAACATCTCTAGCAATTAGAGAAATGCAAATCAAAACTACTCTAAGATTTCATCTCACTCCAGTCAGAATGGCAGCTATCAAGAATACAAACAACAATAAGTGTTGGCGAGAATATGGGGGAAAAGGCACACYCATAAATTGCTGGTGGGACTGCAGATTGGTGTAGCCAATATGGAAAGCAGTATGGAAATCCTTGGAAAACTTGGAATAGAACCACCATTTGACCCAACTATCCCTCTCCTCCATTTATAACCAAAGGACTTAAAAACAGCATACTACAGAGACACAGCCATATCAATGTTTATAGCAGCACAATTCACAATAGCTAAACTGTGGAACCAACCAAGATGTCCTTTAGTAGATGAATGAATAAAGAAAATGTGGTATATATATATACAATAGAATATTATTCAACATTAAAAGAGAATAAAATCATGGTAATTTGCAGGTAAATTGATAGAGCTGGAGAATATAATGTTAAGTGAAGTAAGCCAATTCCAAAAAACCAAATGCTGAATAATTTCTCTGATTTAAGGATGCTGATCTATAATATGCTGCAGTGGGGGGCGGGGGAATGGGAGGATTAAATGAACTCTAGATAGGGCAAAGGGGAAAAGTGGAGGGAGGGGAAGGGAGGAGGCATAGGGGTAGGAAAGACGGTAGAATGCGATGGTCATCATTACCCTAAGTACCTGTATGAAGACATGAAGAATGTGACTCCAYCTTATGTACAATTAGAGATATGAAAAATTGTACTCTATGTGTGTACTATGAATTTTAATGCATTCTGTTGTCATAAATATATAACAAATTAAAAATAAAAAAATAAAGTAAAACCTGGGAACAAGTATTTGATACATRTGCAATAAGCATAATGGGCAAGACACAGGAATCTGTCAATCATTCCTTGCTTAGTGTGAACTACTCCTGGACAAAGGACTCAGAGTGCATATAAACTCAGACCCCTTCTGAGTCTGGGGGCAGATGTCTTTGTTGTGTCCACATTGTACCCTTATAGCTTATTGTTTGCTAATAAAATCTCTTAACTGCTTAAAAAAAGAAGCTATAAAGAATAAAAGTTTGCTATCAATCCCATAAAATTCAAAAGAAAAAAGAAAAGAAAATATTATAATGTTATTTGCCCACTAACGCCTCAGAAGGATAAGAAAGACATTGCTATGCTCATGTACAAAATGACAAAAACTGGGTTTATAAACACCAGAGGATGCCTTGGGTTTATATCATCTGTTGAACTCACAAGTATGGAGGCAGAAGAGCATCTAATATACCAAGGCCAAAAMCCACAACAGGGAGTACTTTCCATTAGTGCTAAGTTACTAGAAGGCTTCCTAGGAAAACACTTATCAGGTGACCCTGGGAGGACCCTGGATCAGCACACTGGATTAAAATATAACAGCAAAATGTAAATGAACCTGGAGAAGAGGCTTAGTGTGCAATCTTCATGCAGGCCTGTCTTCCCTCCCAGTCTAAGGTGCCCCCTCACCCTAGCTACATTTTTTTCATTTTATTTCTGAAAAATTACTCAGTTGCTTATTGTCTGCTTCCTCTTTTGCCTTCAAAACTTAATACCAAAAGAGCAGGGATATTTATATCTAGAATCTTGAATCTCAAGCAGTGTTGGTCCACAATGCATGTTGTAAAGGAAGCTTTTGAATGGCTCTTTATCCACTTATTTCTCTTGTGCTAAAGCAAGATCATAGGGATCACATAGTATCCACTTTTTTGCTTTGTTTACCAAGTATCTTTAACCAAAAATAGTATCTTGTGGTGAATGTTTGTGAAATTGTTGAAGTGTCCACATAAGAAAATTAGGTCCAAAGAAATAATCTTCTAGGAATGTTTCAGTCATATTGAAACTAATATTTTATGTGTAGAATGTGTTGTCTTTGTGAAACCAAGTGACAACGCAGTGATTTTATTATATTTTTTTACTCAACTAATGCTATTTCAATTGACATATTCCCTAGCTGTTATGTAGGGGTTTTCTTTAAATATATTCTGACATTTAAACTACAAAGAGGCAAGATTATGCCATATCATTTGTGGAGATGTGGGTACTAAAACCTAATGAGAAACAAGAGAACTCTTAAAACAGTCTTCAGGAATCAACATGCCATTGGCACACATTCCCAGCTTTATTATAATAGTTGGTCCTCCCTATCTGTAGGTTTCACATTCAGCCCACTGTGATTGAAAGTACTTTTTAAAAATTATGTCTGTGCTAAACAGGTACATACGTTTTTCCTCACCACTATTACCTAAACATTACAATATAGTAATAATTTATACATCACTTACATTTGTTAAGTATTATAAGATCTACAGATGACAATGTATTTGGGGTGAACTTAAGCTTATCTATGGATTTTGGTGTCTGTGGGCTTCTGGAACAAATGCCCTGGGTATAGTAGGAAAGTTTTTCCACACCTTCTCTTCTCAGTTGAGATGCTCTAAGGCCATAGAGCCACTGACAAAATTCGTGAGGGTTCCACTAGAGGGCAGCAAGTGTAAATCAAATTTGCCCCCAGAAAGGTTGGTGTTCTTATAAAACATTGGTGTTATAAATAAGATTTCTTAAATAAAAACAATTCAAATTAATTCACTTATGGAAAAACTTATCCACAAATGCTTCTCTTTTCTTGGAAGTCGTGGTCCATATCCAATGATTTTAAAAACAATGAGACTAGAATTGGTTCTGGTTCCAGCTCTTTTAGTTATTGTGTGACTTGGGGCAATAAAAAATATGCCATCTTGATATACTTTCATTATATATTTGCACAAAATTATTCTTAACGCTATTTTCAACTCTGAAATTCCATGATTTTATGATCTATTATTCTACTTCAATCTTTTAAAAATATTTTGGATTGGACAATTTGACCTAACATAACTTGGCATTAATGGCGATTCGGTTTGGAAATCACCACTATTGTTTTATGGAAATTTTAGATTCATGAAATGTGTTGATTCACCTACTTGGAGAAATCTGCTTAATAAAATGACATATATACGTATCGTCTAGTGACAATAGTGATTGTACCATTTTCTAGAATAATGGTTTGCTATTTAAATAATCAATTCAATCTTTTAAAAAATTTAACAAAAGATAAAGAAAACCCCACAACTTACACATACATAAATGGTTTTAGAGCATGATATATGTGATCTCAGTATTAGTTACCCTATCCAAATTCTAAAGTCATGAAGAAAATTATACATTTAAAAAATACCTATTGGCCTAAAGGTCAAGTAAATAGTGGCTTTGAGTAGGTAAAAGAGCACAAATTAGATGTGAACTACTAGGATGTCATCACTCATTTGGCCAATGACTGCAAGCTTCTGGATGTGATTGAGTTTGATAGAGTCAATGAATTCACAGTTATACATGATGGTTCAATAATCATCTTGTAAATAACTATCACCATAATTCACCTTTGGTTTATACTTGAGTTGTGATTGAAACTGAGGATCTTTTTACCATTTTTCATGAGCACTGGTGGTTAAAACTGTCAATAAATTTGACAAAAACAGAAACCATTTCTGAATCCAGAATGATAATGTAGTGATAGTTAACACCACACCACATATTTTAATGTTTTCAACTCTCATTTAGAATACATTTTCCTCTTATATGCATCAGAGAGGAATAAATATGCTTGATGAATATGAAGTATGAAGAATAAAGCATCCTTTAAAACATAGTAAATCTATTATTATCAGAAGCCAGAGGTAGAACACTGTTATACATCCACTCCAGACTGTTTGTTCTGGCAGATTAGTTCAGCTGGTGCCAGCCAGTAAGAGAGGCACCAGTTTTTGTGGTTATGAGTCCAATTCTCTTCAAAGCCTCAGGCATACCAGCCCATTTCAGTGCTTAATGTTTAATGCATGAATTAATTAATGACCCATTTCAACTAATTTACTTTTCCAGAAKAGGATGAGGAATGTGAGGAGAAACCAACCTCAGAATCAGCAATCTTAGAGAGGTTGCTGAATCCCCTCTTTAAGGAGATCAGCACTTTWGATACTATGGTGTTACTTATATGAGAGTAATGGATGAGATACTGAAAGTCTAACTTCAAACCCTGACTCTGTTCTTCATTCTATGCCTTAATATCCTCATCTGTAAAATGGGGATAGCAGTACCTACTATTTAGAGTTTTTTTTTCTTCAGGAATTAAGTAAGTTAATGCTTGTAAAACTATTATGATTATTACTCAAACTTAGAATATTAAAATGGTTTCATTTTCTCCAGTGTTTTCTCCAGCAAGCTGGGTAGTTAAGTGTATCAGATTGGTGTTCCAGGTAATTCACTGTTAACCATGGAAACACCATTTTATCTTTCTTGACTTCATTTTCATATCCAGGGTTTTAAACAGTGCTTTAGAACTGTTTAGTAAATTTGTTCATTTCACTACATCCATAAGATGGTCTCAATGGATGTAGTGAAATGAACAAATTTTAGAATGAGAAAAACCTAACACTGCACTTCCCAACAGAAGTGTGTGGTATTTAGGAGATGCAATTGGGCTATATCATTGGGAAAGTGAAGAACATCATTCCATTTGGTGAAAAGAATTATCAAGACATCAAACTACACCAAAAAAAATAACTTCCTTTACTGTGAAAGTCAATCCAATATCATCTCTGACAATAGTGGACWGAAACGAAGGCCTAATTAGAAAAACAGATACACATTTATTTTGTACAAAGCTGCTGTCAGTGTCCAAGAGTCCCCAGCATAACAAACTCGCACGAGGAAGGGGCTCAGAAGAGCAGGAGGGAGCCCAGCAGCAGCTCGCCCTGGCCAAGCAAGCGGCTCCGCTGCAGGCCACGGCCCTTGTTCTCCGCTTTAACGCGCACTGTCAGGCGGCGCACCTGGTCTTCCGTGAGCCCTTCAAAGCAGAAGTCCTGGTCTATGGAGAACTTGCGGCTCCGTCGCAGCACCGAGCTGCTCTGCTTGAGCGTGGCGCCCAGCGGCTGCAGGATTAGGCTGATGCGGCAACCAACCGCACGTGGCTCGGGGGTACCTCCCGCCAGGCCCTCGGCACGCAGCAGCCTGATGCGGAGGCGCCCACTATCCAGGCAGTACTCGGCTGCCAGGCGCAGGACGCAGCCAGCGCAGTCCAGAGCCACATTGCCCTCGGCCTCTAGGAGCTTGGGCCGTGGGCCCGGAGCAGGCGACTGGCACACGGGGGCCAGAGCTGTGGACTGAGAGGTGGCGCCGCCCTCCTCGTCTTCGTTCAGGTTGGAGACTGAGCGGGCGCGAGCCAAGCCGCGACTCCTCCGAGCCTTTAACGCACGGCTCAGCAGCATGTTGGGTGCTTGCAGGAGGCGGCGACCACAGGGCCTCGGGCAGATAGCGTCCCGGGGCGGACAAGGACAGACAGGTGCCGCGGCGGGACCTGCGTCCTGGGCTCGCAGGAACAAGCCGGGGACGTCTCTTCCTTCGTCGCGGCTGTAGGTGTGCGCCCTGGGTCGGGGCACTGGCTGGGCGGCGGGCTGCCGCTGGAGCTCCGCGGCTCGGAGATCCCCGAGAAAGAGCGACTCCTTGCGGCGCGTGTGCGGGCTCTCCAGTAGCGTGCAGAAGCCGTAGGCAGTGAGCGCGCGGGGCAAGTGAGGCAGCGAGAGCGCGGCCTGTGAGCGCGGGTCCCAGTCCGTGAGGCCAGCGCCCTCGTCAATCGCTGTATCTTCACCCCAAGAATTCCGGAGTGTAGCCAAGGCCAGGTTGGGCGCAAGTCTTGGTGGGATGCAGAACTCCGGGATACGGTCGGGAGTGAGCACGTTGGCACAAGCGGTGGGCGAGCGGGTCCTGGCACGCCGGGCCCTACTCAGGAGAAGCCCCTCCCTGCTGCGCAGTAGCCTCTCCAGACACCACATCTGGTGGCAGGTGCCTATCCCCTTGACCCTGTGCTAGAGATAACCTGCAACGCACAAATGCACGTCAATTGACAGCGAGCCCCACAGAGTGCCGCAATTTCTGTCGCGGTTTTTCTACTTCAGGGTGTTTTGCCCAGCCTCCCGCCACACAAGACAAATTGCATCTCTCTCCCTAATGCAAACTATTTTTCAGTGATTGATTGAAAAACATTTTCCCTGTCCCATCTCAAATCCGTTGTCAAATACACTTAAGGAGCTTGTTGCTTTATTCTTCCTCTGCTCTTGCCTAACGCAAGACAGAAATTCTCAAACATGTTAGCTTCTAACTTTCATCGCTCCGTCCTCGGTGCCAAGAGGTGCTTTGCTCTGTACATTCGTTTCCTGAATCCTTAAGGAACTATTGCACTCCAATCATCAGCTATAATTAATACAGTTTTTATCCCCTTCAGGAAACTGTAGTCAGTTCTCCTCTTTTAAAAGCCCAAATCCTCAGGAAACCGYTTCCCCGCCCCCGAGTGGAATTAAGCACGCCGCTGGGTCCCCCTTATGTACCTGGAGTTCAGGGTCAGATGGTTCCTGCAAGGTTCTGCCTGGGGCACCCACTCGGAGAGTCAGGTAGCCTCAGAGAAATTCAAAGCTCCCGCGGCGGAGTTCAGCACCGGTGTTCAAGGACAGCTGGTCTGAGCCTTTATACCCGCGGTGGAGCGAAGCTGCCTGGTAACCTGATGCCAGGCTCTTCCGTCCCTCTGCCACGTGGCTTGGATTTGCTAAGCATATTCTGGAGTCAGTTCTTTCTTCTGCTTGGGGTGACGGTATTCTCGGCAACCCTGAACAAGTTCGTTTTCTCACGATGCTCAAAAGGATTAAGTCTTGACTATATCGCAGAATTATTGTGAGGCTCAATGGACAAAATGAACGTGAATGCATAGAAGCTCCCTACATCCACTTTTCAAAAGAAGACCAACGTGGGGTTTGTCTTAGTCTTACCTAATACCCTTTTCCAAATCCAACCAYCCCGTTGCCCAGGTTTCGAAGTTCTTTATTTGTTTTCCGGTTTTCAGTTCTGGTTTTAGGTGATCTTTGTTGATTTTAAATCACTATGATTTTAGGGGGAAGATATGGAAACATTCCATATCTTGACCTGGGTGGGGTTACAGGGGTGTATCCTTGTGTAATCTTCTAGTGTATACTTGAGATTAGACACTTTACTGTATAATACTTCAATTTTGAAAAACCAAAACCTATTTCTTAAACCATGTGTGTTGATCTTGGATTAGAAAAATATACTGCCAAATATATGGACTGTTGGAATCATCCTTTAACTTGTGCCTATTCTGTAAGAGAGCAGATAGCTTGGGCTGAAAGAGATCTGAGGCACTTTGTTTAGGGTCTGGCTGTATAATATTTCTAAGACACTGCCTTGYAATTTTTTTTTTCTCAAAATAGTATTGTATGAAGTAAACTGAATTCATGCAAAGGGGACTTAGGGTAGGGCATGTGTATTTTGTTTCCAGCACATACAAGCACTGTACTAGATAATTTACATAGTTTCTAGAATTGTCATAGAAACCCTGTGACTTCTGATCATCCTTGTTTTATAGATGAAAAACTGAGTTTCAGAGACAAAATAATTTGTCTATGGTCACAAAGTGGTGGGAGATAGAAGAAATAAATAATGCCTACTAATGGATAGTAAATGCATTATTTTGGAGGTTAAATTCATACAATAATAAAAAATACTATGCACCATGGCAGGAACATGACAAACTGCTAAATGCATAAAAGCAGTGATTATTAATGATGAAGACAGCAGGAACATTGTATAGTAGCCAAGAAAATTGGGTCTGAAACCATATCTGATTTTGATTCCAGAATGATAGGTGACTATGAGTGGGTTACTTAACCTAAGCTCAAGCGTCAAGCATTTACCTGTAGCCTTGTCACAAACATGAAATAATGCATATGAAGGGTTTGACATAAAGCCTGTCCTTCACAATGTCAGATATTATTATTATTATTATTGCAGAAAAAAATGTTCATTAGTTCATTCATTCATTCAAAGCAGTATTTATTGAATGCACCCTGGGTTCTAGCCACCATACTGGGTAGGTGGATCCAGGCTGCACCAGATCATATCAGTTATGTACATTCATCAGAAGAGGAATGAAATGATGAAGATAAAATACTTGAATTCCAAATAGCTRAGGCGGATATGAGAAGAGACTATTGAACACTATATATTTAATCTGGGAGGCAAAATTGGAAGGTCCCTGGGTTTTTCATGCCATTGGCTAACTACTTCTTTGTCTTGATATCACTTCTACTCCTGGTCAAAATTCTTGGGTCAGGGAAAAATCTGTGGGAGATTTATCAAATTATATGCTTCAAGGCCATGTGTATGTGTTCTGACTCAACTTTCCTCAAGAGACAAAATACTGTTAGTTCTGTAAGAGCACAGTGTCTTTGATTAAAATGATGAACACAAATCATAGTTCACCGTCTGAGTTGGATAAATTGTTAATCAAGTTCATAATCTGTTTGAGTCCAAGTTATAAAATGGAGTAGTAATATATACACATAAGACTGTTATGAGGGCTAAAAAGGAATGAAAATGCTTGATGGGTAGCAAGTACTGGCTAACAGCTGCTATTTATAATATTATTATTATACACATTTGCTTAGCCAGGAATTAGCTGATTCACACAAAGATTCCATTAAAAACATTTCTCTGCCCAGCCAAGCAAAGAAGATTTGCATTTTTTTTTAACATTTCACCTTCTTCACTTATTCCTTAAGTAAGCATTTCCTGTACAACATTTCCTGAAAACAGCAGAGATGTGCCCTCATGTTCCTGGTCCTCTTTGACCACATTAAGCCTTATGTTTCACTTAACAGCATGAAGCTACCAGTACTTGGGAGGATGGTGTAATAAGGTCAGGCCAAGTGCCTGGAACACACAAATCTACTCAGAGGAAGACTGTGGTTGTTCTGAGCTTACAGGTGTAGCCATAGGAACATCCAGTAATGGAGATGAAAAACAATTCTGTGAAGTGAACATAAATAGATTACACATCATTGAGGCTAGTGGTTCTTCAGAGTAAAAGAAAACTAAACATTTAAAAGCAGACTTAATGGGAAGGGGGAGATTAGGAGAGATTGGTGAATGAGTAAAATGTAAGAAAGGAAGCACAAGTTGTAGTGTTCTATGGCACAGAAGAGTGATAGCTAACACTAATTAATGCGTTGCATATCTCAAAATGCCTAGGAGGAGGACTTTGAATATACTCACCATAAAAAAGAAAACTGATAAAAAAAGTTTAAGGTGGTGGATGTGCTAATTACCTTGATTTCATCATTTCTCAATGTATGTATTAATCAAAACATYACTTTGTATGTCATTAAAATGTACACTTACTATGTGTCAATCAAAATTAGAATAAAACAGCAGACTTACAAAAAGAGTACACAAATTGGGTGTTAAGGAAAACAAGAAGGGAGTTTACAATTAATAAAATAATTGGTGTTTTAACTCATAAATCTCATCCAACCCAATAGAATATAGAACTTGGAGTCCTGGAACAAACACCTTAGGAGTCAAGACATGGGGGTTTTCCTGGCACTCAGTGTTTCTACTTGTCCAATAAAGGGGGTAGATTAACCAGATGATCCTTAAATTTCCCTCTGGTGCACATACTGTGTTACCCACTCCTGTGCTTTCTCCTAGTTTCTAAGTTTTGTTTTTCTTTTTCTTCTCCTCCTTCCTCTCCGACCCACTCCTGGCCTGCTCCTTATTGTTGTTCTTTTCTTTCTTTTTTCTGGCAGTACTGGGGATTGAGCCCAGGGGCGCTCTATCACTGAGCTACATACCCAGCCCTCTTTATTTCTTGAAAGGAGGTCTTGCTAAACTGCCCAGGCTAACCTTATACTTGCAATCCTCCTCCTACCTCAGCCTGTAGTAGCTGGTATTACAGGTGGGTACCACCATGCCCATTTCCTTCCTAAGTTTTCATATAGTCCATGCTCTCATGTCTTGTACTCTACCTTTCTCCAGTATTTCCTTTAGTTCCTAAATTCCCCTTTTTTCCTCTGAAACCCATAGAGTTGGTTGGGGAATGGGGTATGGGTGTGGAATAGTATGAAGTTAATATTTCTTTTAACAAAATTTTAAGAGTTATTAACTTTTAAACCATCCCTTACTTTTGACTTTTTAAAAACAGAAATGATATTTTACTAATCTGCTTTCGCTGTTCATTCCTCACTGCAGTAATTACCTTTTTGTTGTCCTTCGCATTTTTTTTTTTTTTTTGCAGTGGTGGGGACTGAACCCAGGGCCTCATGCATGCCAGACAAGTGCTCTACATAGTGCCACACCTCTAGCCCCTTCTCATTCATTGTTCTTAAGTTAGACTGAAGGTAAGAACTATAATTACTAGAATGTTCATTTTCTTCAGTTAGCCTCTGCATCAAATTTCTTTTGGGTATGTTWGGGTGCTAGTGGTGTTTTTTGACATTAGTTTTGTTTTAAATTGGGACCATAAATTGATGGTTTCTGCAGGCATATACAAATTTATCAAAAACACGCCCAAAATGGAAAACGTTAAAATTTAAAAGCTATACATAAAGTTTCTTTGTACTATTTGACAATAACATTATTTGTACTAAAATTTTTGAGCTGACTATTCCACCTTGAGAATTTTTACTCTGCCTTTTGCCTTCAAAATCTCTGAGAATTACTAATAGCCTGGTAATGATTAAACTGAATAATTATTGACAGAGGGAAGGGTGGCAGTGCTTTAGGGAAGGTAAGGAAATCAATACTTGGTGTGTATTTTGGGTAACTCATTTAACATTCCTGAGCTTAATTTTTGTTCATAATGGGAACAATGCCCACCTTGCCCTAATAATATAAAAGTTTTAACTAAAAACATAATGAAATGGAATGAAGCATATAAAAGCACACTTATATGTTATTCTCTCAAAACTGTGAAGTAATATAGAAGTGTAAGGGATTAATATAAAAGGCATTATTAGCATTGCTCACTTCTCCCACAAGATTATGTTTTCTTTTTCACTTCCTTTACCATGCCATGCTGCCTGTGCTGGCTTTCATATTGTCTTTCACTGTTATTCATACATCCTTGCATTGGTTTCTTTTTTTTATGTACATGCCTTATCTGAACAAGAGTATATTTTTCTTTACATTTGCCTCAGTGTACAGTAAATGTGAATGTACAAGGGGAGAGGGATTATTAGGGAGTATGATTAGAAAGAATTTGGGGATAGATTGAATAGGGTGTCCTAAACACTTTATTGGAGATTTTTGAGTAGGTGACTAATTTGAGTTTATCTGTGATGGAGAAATTCAGTCAGAAAAGATTGGAGAAAGGCAAAACTGGAGGCCATTTAGTAGGTTAACTGTACAGCTCATGGGGAATACAAGAATTTAGAAAATATGGCAAAAGCACAATAGACAGGCTGTTAATAGATTGTACATGAAAGATGGAAGTCCAAAGTGCCTTCTAGTATTTTGTCTGTGTGTCAGCAAAGAAAAACAAATGGTGAAGGTTTTGCTTTCTGTCAAAGTGGAAGATAGAGGTAGATGCTCATAGTACTGGCTAGTACTATGGTTCTTTGTAGCCGTTTTCTTCAGAKAAATTATTTTTCTTTTAGGTTCAATACGAGCCTAGGATGTTCAAAAGCAATACATACACAAGACATGACCTCTACCTTGTAGCAAAGCATTTAATAAATGCTTGCGGCTACAAGTAATCTTTGTTTGTCTTAGGTTTCTGTTTGCTGTACTGTAACAGTTTTTTGAAATATACTTAAGTCAGAAATCCTCCAGTTCTTTAAGGAGAACTGGTTTTGGTGGGGGGGCGGTTACATTTCACAGGGTGGAAAGTCCTCGTAGTATAAAAGCTGCGCTTTGAATATCTTGCCACAGTATAAGCAATTCAATGACAGAATGGCCAAAATGATATATAACAACATGCAACCCAGAGTTAAAGAAAAAAAAAAAAAGAACTACGTTTGATCTTTATTTCCACGCATATTCAGTTCCCCTTCTATCTGCCATTTGGTGCGGTTTTGCCCCTCCTCCTCTGGCTTTTAAATTATTAAAGTGTGTTTTCAAGAAGAAAAAAGCGGAGGCCTTGCAGCCGGCGGAGTCAGAAGCTAGCAGGATAAGACCTCGTGGATTCACGCCGCCTGAAGCTTGGAGGAAGGGGTGGTGGCCCGGGACACACCCAGAGCGGACCACAGGCCCAGGAGCGTGGGGACCAGCGACGCGGAGCTGCTTTCGCCAGTACCGTGGGCTCCGCGGGGCCCAAGGTCGGCAGCAGGGGCGCTAAGGCAGAGCGGTTACGTACAGGTCCTTGAGCTCCTTTTTCTTCTCCAACGTCCTCCTCTCATACAGGCCGCTAGGGCACGGTGGACAGGATCCGCGTGGAACATCCCTCCGCCCGCCGCTCGGGGGTGCCTGGCGGCGGTGGCAGAGGAGTCCGGCCAGGCCCACGTGCTTCGGCGGCGGCGGCGGCGGCGGCGGCGGCGCGCCTGCGCACGGGCAAAGTCACGCGCGCGGCGGAGGGCGGGCCGGCGCTGGAGGGGCTGTCATTCGCGGTGCGGGTCGCCGCCCTCAGCTGCGCCTGGCGGTTCCGGCTCCTCCTTCTCCCTCCGCTACGGCCCTACCATGGTGTTTGAGTCGGTGGTCGCGGACCTGCTGAACCGCTTCCTGGGGGACTATGTTGAGAACCTGAACAAGTCCCAGCTGAAGCTGGGCATCTGGGGCGGTAAGCGCGAGGGCGCGGGGGCCCACGCCACGGGCTCCCGTCTTCCGGCCCCTGCCCAGGCCCTAGTCCCAAGCTGCCCGAGACTCCGCTTCACAGGGCTCTGGAGGGGCCCCAGGTGCGACAGGTGCGGGGCGCAGGCGGCCTATGCCTGCCGCCACCTCGGGCTCCGGGGGATGCACTGGAGCTGGTCCCGGCTTCTGGAGTTCCCACCTTTCCGGTCCCTACTGCCGCTGCCCCGCCCACTTCGGGGGTCCCCTTTGGCTTCACAGTATAGAAAAAGCCGCGTCTGCTGGTGGAGTGAGCGTGGTCATGAACGCTGTCACCAAAGAAAAAGACATTTTTCTCAGTTATCTTCCTTACCATTCTAGGAAGCGGGAACTGGATTTTTTCTCTACAGAATAGCAAGGTTTGAGGGAGGGTTTGGTAGGGGAAGGTCATTAAGAAGCAAGGCCTGTCTATAGGGACTCTTCCTCTTAATGCTTTCGGCTCCTGAGAGTGATTTTTTTTTCCCTCTGAGTATTTTTTTCTTCAACACGAAGAAGACTTTCAGTTTCGTGTGTAGAGCATGAGAGATTCAAGTCATAAGCAGCAACATCATTAATTAGGTGCCTGCTTGGTTTCATGCCCAGGGATGTATTGCCAACGTTTTATCCTGGAGATTAAGTCTATACAAGTAGATAATGAGTAGTATGCTTGTGCAATTTCCAAAAAAATCATTTACACAAATTATGTGTTAAGCTTTGGAGATGTTGGGAATATGTTCTTACTCTACACGAGAGCTGGGTATTTTGCCAGCTTTGGGGGGAAATCCGAAAAACGGCTCATATGGATGAAAGTGCTTTTTATTTATTCAACGAATATACCCTATCTTAATAGGGTAACTCCTAGCCCAGTTGCTGTTCAGCACTAGAAGTATGGCTAGTGCGAATTGGGATGTACTCCAAGTATAAAATACACACTGTGTTTTGAATATGAGCATTTCTCTAAGCCAGAAAAAGAAAAATGATGCAACAACTCATTACTAATTTTTTATGTCAATTATGTGTTGTAATGATATCTGAATATATTGGGTTAAATTAGATATATTATTTAAAATTTTGTTTGCCTTGTTTCTTTTTACTTTGTTTTTTAGCCTGGCTCCTAAAATTTATGGTTATGTATGTGGACCACGTATTAGGCAATGCTGTTATAGAACCAGGAGTGCTGCTCTGAATTGTGTGGGAGCCCCGTTTGTTTTCATAGGTTACTACTCATCATTTGATTGGTTCACTGGGGTTTGCCCAACAGTACATACTTTGCTTAACCCCCACCAATATAATGTAAAGGAAAGGAAAATGAAAGCTACATTTAATGAATTAAATACCCAGTGTCTTTTGCAGAAATCAAGTGTTTTCTTCATAATATGGATGGTAATGCCAATTTTTTCTTGTAGGTTGTAAACATTTGACATCTGAAAAAGCACTTGGTTCTAGGCTGGTTAGTGTGCTGTGATATACAAGCCATTTATCTCATGGGCCTTAGTTTCATTATCTTAATTTAAACTACAGGAAAAAAATGTTTTCAAATTTTGAAAAGTTTGAATCATACCAGACAATATGATAGTTCCATGTAACTTCTATACCAGTTTTAGCAAGCAATAATATTGTGCTATAATTACCCCTGAATTTTAAACAAAGAAATAAAATGGTTAGAGTCTAAGATTCTTTCATACAAAATCTTCTTTGAAATTAGAGGTTTTACTAGGTACCATCTGAGGGTCTTTCCAGTGTCAGTATTCTGTGATTCTGACTGTAAATGTTTTTACTGTGACATTGAGGAGAATACTGTCTGAAGATTTTAAACTTTTTTTAGAATTGAAATTAAGGTACCCTGATTTTATGTAATTGTTTCCTACCCACCCCAAGCTTGGTAGCATCTAGGAAAGGAGACTCTTTTTCATCCTGTTCCCCACCCCCCAATCAGTATTAACTTATAGACCTGATCACTTCTTTCACATATTGTGTCCAGTGTCCAATCAGGGATTCCCTCAGCTATCAGCCCACATCTCTGGGTCTATGAAGTTTTGCTACCTTTAATTTTTGTAGTTGCTATAAAGAAAGTGAGAAATCATGAATTTTTACAGTTATTTCTCAATATATTGTCTTAATAGCTGTAGTTCCTCTTAAAGTATAAAGGCAAATGTCTGTGTTGGGTTATTTCTGTTCTTTGAAAATAAGGTGAAGAAATTTATATTAAATGTTTTAGGGCAAATGGGAAAATTAAAAATTGATAAAATAGTTGGTATTTGGGGAACTGTGGTGTTAATAAGGTTCAAAAAGAATTTACCATTTTATATAGTTTTACTTGAAAACTATTTACATTAGCAAAATAAGGTTTACATGTTTGATTTTTCAGTTTTTTTGTTGAATTTTTAAGTCTTGAAAAAGAAAAATTCATCCTGTAGAACTTTCATATACTGATATTATTTTTCATTGGTTTCTTTGGAGATAAACGAAATTGATACTTCCTAATTGGAGTGCCCAGTGTAAAACATTGATACTTCCTAATTGGAGTGCCTAGTGTAAGACAGTGGTTTTCAATTAGGGTGACTTTGCTCCCCAGGGAGGGTATTTGGCAATATCTGTGACATTTTTAGTTGTCACACTGTTGGCAGAGGTGTGCCACTGGCATGTGGATATACCCCAAGGACACTTCTGAACATCCTGCAGTACGGGGGACATTTCTCTGTAATGAAGAATTATTCAGCCTCAAATGTAAATTGGGAAACCCTGGTCTAATGGGAATATGGAATGTCTTTTGCAATTATAGGCAAGCTGGACATCTTAGTAAGAAGTGAAGAATGGATTTATAGGAAGTATATATTATTCTTATGAAATATCTAACCCGAAAGAAACAGATGTCTTTAAAAGTTACTAAAGGGTATCATCTCAGTAAAAATTCRTAATATTTTCTTAGATGATCTCAGGAAGTAAATATTGTGTTACCATAACTTGAAAGATTGTGCTGTGTATACATTCATACACATATAGCATTCACAGTGAAATCCATATTCAGGGAAACATTGCAGAGTGAGAAGGATGGAGCAAATTTTTGAAATGTCTAGAATCAGATACTGCTATAAAATTGGAGAAGCAAAAGAACAAAAAATAAGCAAAAGCACCCAAACCAAATAACCAAACCCCCTGCTATTTTCTTTTTATTTTATCCTTAAATAATAAAAAAATTAATGCCAAATGATTCCGCTGAATTGTTAAAAATGATTTAGGCAGAATGCTCTTTTAAAAACTCTTCCTGTTGTAGAAAAATGAGGCCTTGATTATTTATTGGAGTAACTCAGGCAATACATTTTAACTCTGTAAGCCTCAGTTTCCTAACCTATAAAATGGATATGTAACACTGTAATATAAATGAAGTGAAAATCCTTTGTAATTGTTAATATTACTGATAGTAGTGATGGAAACAGCTTTATTTGTTCTTTTTTATTTTCACAAGTCTGTTTCTTTTAACTACAGATTTCTGCGGTTTTATATTCAATAGTTGTAGAGCTAACAGTACAAATCTAAACATTTATTATCCCTGAAATTTCTTAAATAACCTATTTGCATTTGAATTTAACTTAATACTTATATTATTTACCAGCTACTTTGTAAGTTAGATTTTCAGTGGTTTAGAAAAGTGCCTGATGGATGGGCAAGTGCTGCTTATGCAGATAGGAACATTTATCTAGGTTTTTGTTGCCCACAAGCTGGTACCAGGAGATAAAATGCACAGCCTTTAGCTATTTGAGGTGTGTCCAGGATATAATTGTTTTAGGAATATCATATATTTGAAAAGGTATGCTGAAATCTAGGTCTTTTGCAATTTGTTTTAAATAGTATTGGTGCAATGTAGAATCTTTGTTAGTTTGATTTTTCAAAGTGATTTTACTGTGGAGGAGCAAGAAAATTTTCCTTTCAGAACTCTATGGCTCTTCCGTCCCTTGGGCTTGTGGAATAAGCTAGAGACTGTGATGTGTTGGATGCAAGGGTGGCTGTTGTTACCAGGTAGTGTGCATTCACTTTGTAGCTCTGTAAGGCAGGCTCTGCCTATACTGTTTATTGTATTGTCCTTTACCCTATCCTTGTTACTTCACCCTCCACTGCCAGTGGGTGGTGAAGTATCCCCCATTTGAAATGTTTGGGACTGGAATTGTTTTGTAATTAGGATTTTTTTTTCAGATTTTTGGAATATTTGTATATATATATATATATATATAATGAGATTTCTTGGGGATGGGCCTCAAGTCTAAACACAAAATTCATTTGTATTTCATATATACCTTAGACATATAGTCTGAATGTAATTTTTAAATAGTATTTTTAATATACCTATGTTTTGACTTTGATGTCACATGACGTCAGGAGTGGAATTTTCTGCCTGTGGCATCATCTCAGCCCTCAAGTGCTGGAATTTTGGAGGCTTTTGGATTTCAAATTTTGGTTTAAGGATGTTCAGCCTGATTTTTGGAGCACAGCAGCATAAGGAAGGAGAATGAGCACGAGACCAGTGCCAGGAATGAGGAAACCTACCTTCTAATTCTTTAACTCTGGTATTGCCCAGTTATGTGTTTTTTGACAAGTCACCAACCAGTGACTACTTGTTCTATTCTCTTCTTTCTTTCTTTTTTATTTTTATTTTTTGTGGTGCTGGGTATTGAACCCAGGGCTTTGTGCATGTGAAGCAAGCAATCTACCAACTGAGCTATATCCCCAGCCCGACTAATTGTTTCTTATCTATAAATGAAAGAGTTGGACCAGGTCTTCTTCTCTTTTGGATTTAAACTTCTGTGAGTTGAACTAGGCCTAAGCAGTCCAAGCTCTTTCTTAGTAAGTGGTACTGCCACTGCCTTTGCATTCATAATGAGAAATGGTAGTCAAGAAATATATTTATTTTTCATTTGTGTTCTTCACTTGGTAATGGTGAGTACTTCACTCGTACTTCACAGTCATAAAGTATGACAA